TCCTGTGTTTAATACAAACCTGTGATGGGACAGAAAGGGGTTTTAACAAGTTTTTTGCTCTCATTCAACATCTCTTGAAGTGAACAGTCTTCAAAAGCTGAATAACCTTCTTTGGCAGATTTTTTTTTTTTTTTTAAGGGATAACCTGAAGGGGTGCTGCCACTTTATTCTTTGGTTTGAGATGTTAGGACATAAGAGGATCAGACTGGGAGGAGATAGAGCCACCTGTTAAAGCAGCATGAAACTGCCCTATTTATTGTTGTGGGTATTGCAAAAACATCACTTGGATGGGGCAATTAGAAACAAACTAAAAAATAAAGTCCCTTCAGTAAATATATTCAAATACCCTCAAATGCTGAAACCTAACCCTTTAAACCATCCACAGCTCAGGAAGCTATGAGCTTTGGAAAAATAGAAGGTTGATTTGAAATGAGATTTTCACTCATCATTCTGGCCCCACTTAGTGAAGCACTTTTTTTCTGAGGCTGTTCAGTAGAGCTGTCAGAATCTCAGTTGCTGGCATCCTCAGGAAATTCATGGTCTTAAATGTGTATGTTCTGCTTTTTATAAAGCACCACCACCGCACTAGGGAAGTTGGATTCCCTCCAGCAGTTGTGTGCATGACTTAAAAAAGAGAGCGCACAGGAGAGAAAAAAAAGTGCCCTGTGTTATGAAAAAGATTAATTTCCCCTTTCTTTAATCCTTCATATTCAGCATGTATTTGCATTGAAATGCCTGCACTCATATGCATTGATGTTCACTCAACTGTGAACCCTGCTTGTTGCATAGCTCTAGGCACTGGTTTTGTGGGGCCTGATCACTCTGGATTCCCAGGGAAAACCCACCCAGTTCTTGTTCCGGTAATGCAGACATGCAGTATTCTCATTCTTCTCCTGTTCAACTTCTGTAGAGAAAGTGGAAAGAACAGCTAATGGTACTTCTTTAGGGAAAAAAAAAAATTCATTCTAGTCTCCTGAAGACCCTAGTACTATTAATGAAGACACACTGGGTTAATATTTTACTGTGCAGTAGTACCATGAACTCTGCACTGGAATTGTCTGGTTTTCCGAATACCAAAATAAAACCGAAAGGCAGGAGGTAAAGGGCCTAGGGAACACCAACAAGTTTTCTGCCTTTTTATGTGAATGACAGCTCAAGCACAGAGGAGTCTGGATTGATTTTTTTTCACCTGGATAGATTTTGTGTGCATGCCTAAAGAAAAACATCAGGACCTGCGAGATCAGGTTATGCGACCATTTTGTGTGCTGTGATAAAGTTTACAAGAACATTACAAGTTTACAAGAACCCACCTCAGCATCCAAAATATGCAGCTGGAGCCACATGAGTAAATGGCAGAGTAACTTGGAAACTTCTTTTCATGGTTAGACTGTGAAAGCCTGTCTTTAGTTCACAGGGTGATGGTGTAAGGTCTGTCTTTTATTTGTAGGACACTGGGGAGTAAGTGTGGGAAAGACTTGGGGGTAGATGGTCCTCAGTTGCTCAGTGATGAATAGCATAATTTAAAGCCTAGTGGAAATTCCTAGCATCCTGAATACAAACTCGCCCAGGAATTGCCTTTCGGTGCTTTACAACACTTTGCACTGACCCTTTTAACTCTGGGACAGCTTGGCCTGAGGGAAGTTTCACATTTCTGAGCTGGTTTTCTTTTGCAGCCTAAATATTATCGGCGCCCCCTTTTGGATGGTTGGGTCCAGTGACTCTCAATTTGTATAGAACCTGAAGGATTCAGTGTTTTTGTTTTTCTAGGCAGGTCCCTGTCTCAATTATGTAAGCTCAGAGTGGGATATATATGAAACTAGATACTTTCTTGTCAGGGTTTAGGAGACTCTGGCTTTGCAGTCAGATGTTTGGAACGGAGTAAGGTTTTTTGTTTGTTTGTTTTGGTTTGGGTTTTTTTGCTTGCTATAGCTAATCTAGGGAAAGAGAACTAGGTGTCCCCCCTTTTCTCTTTAAGCTGAAAGTTTACAGAAACCCATTTTTCCTAGGGTGTAGCTGTGAAAAATTTAGACTTTAAAGATTACTTTTACAAATAATTACAAAGTTATGGTTTTTATTTAAGCTCTTTCCATTTTAACTGCTGTCTCTACTAAAGCCCACTTATGTGGATTTCATTTAGTTTGGTAAATTTTTTTTAATGCTTTTGCTAGAACTCCTAGCCAAGGTTGAGACAGTGTTGGGGTTGTTCTCTTGCCCAGCTAGAAAAGGCCAGTAAAAAAGCAAGCATCTATTAAACTAGAGAAATCAACTAACTTCAGTTTATTAGGCCTAGGGGGAGGAAAGAAAGGCTTGTGATGAAGGACTTTTTTTTCCTTGAGATTCAAATAGCAAGTATACATCTGCTGTTCTCAGCTTCTGTGAATGTGTTTGGAGGGAGGTGATCCATATCACAGGCTCCAGCAGCAACAAGGGATCTAGCATGTGGAGGGCTTTTCTACTTCTCTCACGCAGAGAAGAAAACATAGCACAGTTCCATCCTTGAACACAAAGAAACTTGTATAAATGTCTGTCCATTTATATGTATACACATAATGTGGATTAATACATGGGGTGAAACTTGGTAAACTGATCAGATTTCAGTTGTGACAATGGAGAGCTCAGAAAGAAAACCCAGTAAATGTTGTATTCTACCTTGGAGTCAGATAAATAGGGCTGGGGGTAGGGGGCTGGGGGAACTGAGAATCATATAGAGTTGTGACATAGGAAAGGGAGTAAGATGTTGGCACAAGGGGCAAAAAATGATACAGAAGATTTGAGAAGAGTCTAGAGTTGTACTGTCTAATATGGTAGCCACTAACCACTTGTGGTTTTTTTAATTAAATGAAATTATGAATTCAGTTCTTTAGTCACATTAACCAAATTTCAAAGGTTCAAACAGCCACATGTGGCTAGTGACTTCTGAACTGGAGGGCACATATATAGAACATTTCCATCATTGCAAAAAATTCGATTGGACAGTGCTTATTCAGAGCAGGGGTCCACACACTTTTTCTGTACAGGGCCAGATAGTAAATATTTTAGGCTTTCCAGGTCATACAAGTCTCTGTTAACACCTATTCAACTCTGCTGTTAACAGTGCAAATGAATTCATAGATAATGCATACATGAATAAGTGTGGCTATGAGCCCATAAAACTTTATTTATGGACACTGAAATTTGAATTTCATATTCTCACACCACAAAGTATTATTTTGATTATTTTTCAGCCATTTAAAAATGTAATAACCACTCTTAGCTCATGGGACATACCAAAACAGGCAGTGAGCTTGTGAGCCATAATTTGCCAACCCCTGGTCTAGAGGAACAGGAAGTCAAAACTTAAGATTCTTTTAGTGTACAGGATATCACTTAAAAATTTTTGGTGGTTCTTTCAGGCTTGAGAACTTTCTTTGGCTAAAAATTGAGGTTCACTGTAGTACTGTTTATTTTCTTCTTTTCCCTATTTTTGCAGTCCTGTCCTCCCCAATGGTAGGGTCATGCTCTTCAGTAGAAGATGACTGCTTAATTAAGTCACATCTAAGTCTAAAATACCAAACCCTACTCTTTCTCTACGTGCTAAGTAGTGAATCCTCACTTGTAACATTGCCTAGTAGAGACTGGAAGTGTGCTGTCACCCGGAATCAGTTCTGCCCTACATGTACTGTACTAGAACAAATTAAATATTGGTGGGCCAAGGGGAGATTATTCTTCCTAGGCTGGACAGGCTTAGTGTTCATCTTTAGCCCCCCACCCCACCCCCACCGTGTGTGTGTGTGTGTGTGTGTGTGTATGTAGATGGAGAATAAAGGGGTTTTATTATCTGGCTGTATCCCCAAGTCACACACTATTTTGAGTGGCACTGTTGAAGGATGCCTCAGGATAAGGGAAGAAAGGAAAGACAAAAACTGAAGAGTTAAAATGATCAAGGACACAGGAAGGACATAAGGGGCTAAGAAAGGGGAGCCTTGAGAATTAAGAAATTTCTCTTTGCTATGGAAGGAGGTGGAAGTTTTAGGGAAAAGGTCATGGAGAGTATATTTCACAAGTGAGAGGTGGGTGGGAGGGTTCATGTAAACACGGACTGAATGTCTACTGTGCAGTGCGCTGGACAATCACAGTTGAATGACATTTATGGAAAGGTAAAGTTAAAGTCCTTAGAAACAATGGTGGGTTGGAGAAGGACAGAATAGGGCTTTTAGATAATAAAAAGCAACAAGATTTGGTGATATAGGATGGTGAGATGAAAAGGGATATAGAAAGATGAGAAGTGGGTACTTTGGAGAGAAAAACAAGTGGTAATCCCAAGAAAAAGAAACTGGGGAACAAAGGATAAAAAAATTAGGGGGTTGATAATTTGCTGAACCAAAGGATAAAATGGATGAAACCATTATGAGCTGTTCTTGCTCTTCTGTTCTTTGTGGATGTTCACGTTCAGACCCCTTACGGCCTTTTCCTCTCCCCATGGTGGAAGGACACCTACGGAACTGGTGTCTTTTTGTATTTAAGGTATGATACTTCCCCAGAGACCTCTCTGCGAGGAAGTCTGGTCCAGCGAGAGTTCTTTCCACGAGGGGAGAGCGTTAGGTTCGAGCTCTCCAATCCAGGTTTCTTCGAGTTTATCTCTGTTTAACCGGCTCGCCGGGTTTTCCAGCATTCCCAGAGCTACGACTCTAATCCGGGCTCCGTGTGACCGCGCATTCCGAGACCCAGGATTTGGCTCTTTCATCCAGGTTCCGGGTTTCCCTGGCGCACTCCCGCTCCAGACTCCACAGCAGCCCGGAATCCAGATCCGAGGGCCCGGTAGTCCAGTTTCCGGGTCTTCGGGGCGGCCCTGGTTGTCCCGGATCGCGGCGGCGGCGGCGGCGGTGGCGGCGGCTGAGGGACCCGCGGCCCCGGACACAGCGGCACCGGCCGGGCGGGGCGGAGCGGCGCGGGGAGGGGGCGGAGAGCCGGAGCTGAGGCGGGGTGGGGTGGGGGGGAGGGGCCGCGGGAACGGATGGCGGCCTGGGCCCCGTAGCAGCGGCGGCTCTACGGCCCGGGGCCCCGGGCGGGCGGAGGTGGCGGCTCCCGGGACCGGCCGCGCGGTGAGTCCGAAGCTTTGTGTGGAGCCGGGGCTGGGGGAGGAGAGAGGCCGTGGCGCTGAGGGGGGCCGGGGCTGAGGGGGCCGGGGGCAGCGGCGCCTGACGGAGGAAGTGGGGGTTGGGGGGCCGGGGCGGAGCGAGGGGAAGGTGTGTTTGGAGGGGGAGGGGGGTCGTTGCGTGGGTGGGGGAGGGGGCGTCGAGGGGCGCGGGGTGAAGTTCAAAGCGTGGCCGGGGCCGGTTCAGCCTCAGGGTAGGGGTTCCCAGGAGAGGATTAGGGTCTGGCCAGGTTGTGGGGACAGGCCAGAGAGTTTCAGTGGCGAGTCTGGGTATCTCGAGGGGGCCTAGGGCGGCTGGGGCTAGTCAGGGAGTTAGGGGGGTTCAGGGCGAAGGGTTGGGAGCAGGACGTGTGCGCGGCCCTGCGGGGGGGGGGCGGGGAGCAAGGTGGCCGGGAGTGTGCAGTAAGTAGGTTGTGGGTGTGTGCTCCTTCCAGTCTTCAGGTCACATTTACTCCTGTCCTTTTCTTCAAGATGGAGGGATCCCTGGGCCTGGCCCTTAACTGCTCTCCTTGTGCCCCCGGGACGATTTGTGACCCTGTCCTGTTTGGAAAAACCCATGCTGCCCTCTTTTCCCTTTATGTGTAATTACGGTTGGATCATCTCTGTGCTTTGCTCAGATTCTCCTTCCTCCCTCTGGGGTTGAGGAGGAGGAGACACATCTGACCAATTAATGTGTGTTTGTGAAACAGGCAGCAGCAAACAGTCATTTCAGCTTCTAGGAATTAGGCTCACAGAGGGTGGAGAGATCAGAGCCCTTCAGGGGAAATATTTCTGAACAAATCACAGATGATTAAATTCTCTAAGAAACAGCTTCCTACCCAAATGAGAGTGGGAAAGATGGGGGAGAAAGCCTGTCTGTTTGCAGCCATGTGTCCAGAGCCCCAGGGGTAGAGGAGAGTCCCCAATCCCCCACAGGCCTCTCTTTTCTGTACTAGGCTTTGCTCTGCAGCCTTGAGTTAATTTCACCCCTGCTGCTTTGTCTTGGGGGAGGGAGTGCTGGTTTAGGCTGTTGTGAGGAGATGACTGTTCTGCTGCCACACACAATAGTCTGTGTCATTTTATCGGGAGTGCTACCCCAGGGCTGAGAACTGCTGCTGCAGAGATAAACCGGTCCCTCTCACCCGCCTATTGTGTACACAGTGAAGGTCATAGGTTCAAGTCTTGTCTGAGAGCTTTGGATATGCTCCATCTCCCAGGCTCCTCAGTGCCATTTTCTTCCTTTTCCAGACTGGGGCTTGCCATTGGAGGAGGCCAGACAGAAAGGCTCTTCTTTTTGAGTGAGGAACAATGCAGAGCTCATTGGCACACATTTTTCAGAAGAATAGGGGATGCCAGCCATGTTGTGCCTGCCTCTTTGGCTAGCTTGTACTAAGTTGTGGAGGAATCGTGTCTGGGAGACTCAATCCTGATGTTTGTGTCAGACCTTTAAGGAAGAAGACGCCAAGGGGAGGTTTCCACTCTTGTTTGAACCATCATATTTAATTCTTTTTATAGAGATGGGACACTCAATGGTTTTTTTGCTTGCTTAGGAATACCACTGAAAACCTTTGCAAGGTTAAGTTAGGGAGTGAAGGACCAAGTACCATTTTAATGGTGACTTCCTGGTTAGTAATAATTGCACAACGAAAAAGCCACAGAATTTGCCTATCTGGGCAAGGGCTATGGAAACAACTTTCCTTTTAATCTTTATTTTAATTCTGATGAAAAGAGATGACTTACCATTGTGCAGAAAGGCCATCTCTGCCTTTGTATTAGGGAGAAATTTGTCAAAGTGATGAACATAAACAGCATTTGAGGTCTTGGGGTTTATTAATGAGAGAAGGATGAGAACAAGCTAGAAGAAACCCTATCCTTGTAAATATCTCATAGAAGTGTCCAGATAGTATTTAGGTACTATTAGTTGGCTAAAAAATTATTTGGGATTAGAAGTGAGGTTTCCATTTAGAATATAAAAACTTTAAGAAGATTTTAGAAACTAGACTCATTGTGAGAGGGCAATTGCACACAATGCACTGTGTACACAATAGCCAACCATAGCCTATAGGGAATTGTTGAATAGGGACTTTAGCCTTTGGTTTCGGTAGAGGTCTTTTTCTGAGGGCCTGAATCTGACTATGTTGCCTCCCTCATCCCTTTATTTCAATGAGTTTCTTAAAATGATGACTTGCCGCTTAGGTGTTGGGCTTGTTGGGAGGGAACATGTTGTTCTTGATGACAAAACTGTCTTATTAAAGTCTTACTAGAAGTGTTGTCTGTCTTTAGACTATTTCCAGCTTACCTGTCCAAGGTCTCTGAGTGAAGCCTCAGCTAAACTGAGTCCAAAGCATTTTGCTCTTGGGTTGTAGGCATTCATTCTGAATCCTGTCAGGTGACAGTGAAGGCAAAAGCCTCCTATTGTTTGCCCTGATTAGATTTAGTGGTTTCAGAGTTGGGCCCTTGCCACAGAGTCTTCTGAGTCTTCTGATTGTGACCATCTTTCAGAGAGCACTTTGGTTTTCTTGGTAGTAGATGTTTCCTTGTGAGAGGTCTAGATAGCTGGGCAGATTAGTGCTTATTTTGTGTGAGGATATAGGAGCATAATTTTGGCTCCTGGTAGTAATTATGTTGCAATTAGCATATAGCAACTAAACAACTGGAACAGGATAATTTGTTGAGGGGTTTAGCGATTGCTCTGATGAGTAGAAGTGCCACTCCTTATTTATTTGACTTGAACACTACTGCCTGGGCTTGACCATGGAGACTTAAGAAGTACAGGGATGATGTGTGATCTCAGAAGTTCTTCCCCTCTCGTTCCTGCCAGGTACCATAGCACATTCCAACTGCCACTTTCTTCTGCTACAAAGGTAGCTGAGCAATTGTTATTCCCTTGTGGAAAACCAGTCATGGATGGGAATACTGCCAGACAGATGGGGCCACTCTGAGATAAAGCAGCTTTATGTTGTGTGGCAAGTTCTTTTTTAGCAGCTGAATTTTCACTTCTACTTGATTTTTAAAAATCCGTTTCCTTTAAAAAACAACAGCAACAAGAACAAAACCCCACAAAATACAAAGTCACATAGTATGCTAAATACGCCTTCAAGATATCTCTCATAAAAGTTGGCTGTGACCCGACAAAATGAAGATCGGTGAGGCTGATTGGCAGGTTCTGGGCCCACTAAGTGTCAGTGAAGGACTCTTTTCACTAGGGAACAGGTAATTCACCAAAGCACCTGCCTAGCTGGGCATGTGGAATTGGCAGCAGCTGTGCAGCTGAAGAGGGATTATTGAGCAGGTGGTTAAAGAATCACATGCCACAGTGACAAGAAAATTCTGGGTCTTCCGTGGTTTAGGTTCAGTTCATATGTGTGAAATTGCTCTGTGTTTCACATTTCTTAATGCCTGATACAGGTTTGTTAGTGAGATGATAATGGAATAGAGAAAAGAGATCCTTTCTCTGTATTTCTTTTAGAATACTGAGTAACATGCCTTAGACATGGTCCTAGCTGGCCCTATTGTATTTCTGTGATTTCTGGCTTTATGCCCTATGAATGGGAAGGAAATAGTGGTAATTCAGTTTTCTAGTGCTTGTTTATTAGAGGGAAATGGGAAGGAGAAAATTCTTTGCTTTCAGTGTGGTGAAAAAGATTTAGTCCACTGGGAGAATACCCGGCAGGTTTTATGCAAAGGATATAATTGACTTTTTGTGTAGGTCTACCTGACATGCCTCCCTCAAGAAATTTGCATGTGTTTTTATTTTATGAATGTAAATTTCCATATGAAGTTTGCATCTCTTCAGATGTCCTGTTTCATTTTTAGTTTCTCCCAGCACCTTTATAACTTTTCTCTGGCACTGAGATTAACATCACTTGTTAGAATCAAATCACCTCAAGCCAAATCATGTTACGGAAATACCTCAACTATATGTTTATCTTAAAAACAAGTATAGCATTTCCTATAACTTGGAGGAGGACTTTCTATTTTTAGGGTTTTTTGCAAATTCCCAGGTTTTTCTTGTAGGTTACCATCATCATCTTCTGTTAATATATTATTTTTCTTTCACATGTTCGTGCCACTATAGTAGGCAGTGCTATAGAGCCAAAAATGTATGAGCAAATAACTTGGGTGTTTATTTTCTGATTTTTTTTTTTTAGGGCCCTCCAGTCATTTTCTGTGTTAGGTCAACACAACAGGCTGTGTGCTCCTGTTGAGGCCCATTCTCTCATTGAATTCACTGGGTATTAACAGTTGATTGAAGGGAAATAAGTGATATTAACTGTTTAGAGTTCAGAAATCCCTTTTCCAAGTGGAGTGAAGACTCTAACCTGTTTGTCAGAGCGATACAGAGAGCTTTAGACACATAGATTGATTGATTTAGGGGAAAGGGAGGCAACGGTATAAGGCCAGGGCCAGTAGACCACTGCAAAGACAGGGACATTTGCAATAATCTCCTTAAACCTAGTTCATAAGCTAGCTTTAAGTGGGAGCCTTGCAGTTATTTGTATAGTATTAACTAATAGGAAAGAGTATAAAGTTCTTTATTTACCTATATGAAGCCATCACAGTTGTTTGTTTTAAACTGTTCACAAACCACTGTATACTTTCCTAGCATTCTCAGTAGTTTGCTTCCTCCTGCTTTTCCCCCTCCCCCATCTCTCATCCTAGTTCCCTGCTCTGAAGACTTCTCCAGCAGCTTGGAAACACTCTAATTACTGTAGCTATTATAGTCACAACCCAGATCTTCCACCTCCTTCCCACTCACCCCTTTCTATCTTCCTTCCCCCTCCCCTTGCTCTAGCAGCAGGAGTTGAACTGCAGTCTCATGAGCACAGTCAGATCTATGAATGAGCTTTATATCTTGTCAAGGCAGAACTCCAGATCCAACAGGGCTGATTTTTCATGGTCCTCTTGCTGTTTGTTCTTGGATCAGAGTCCCAGAAATAAGAGATGGCAAATACCTATTAGGTCATA